TCTGCTGCTGTACTCGTACTCAGTGTGACTTGCTGTTTCGGCATTCGGAATCCAAGACTTCGACTTTGTGCCTTGCCACTGTGTCTGTATCCGACCCTCAGTCCGAGTCAGTCGCGTCGAGTGAGTGAGTGTGTGTGTGTGCTCTCCCTCTCTCTCCTCTCCCTCGGCTCACCCTCAGCCTCACGCCCGTCACATGTGGCGTAGATCCAAGAAGCTACCAGCTGGGGAAGTGCAACACCGTTGGGTAGTGGGCACGCAAAGAGGCGTAGCACGTACAGTTACTTGTCCAAATGGGGACTTATGGGGTATTGGTTAAGCATTACTCCCTTTCAATTTTCAACTTTCTAAGAGGATTCAGCTCCTGCTCTCCACTTCGTGATGTTATGATTGCTCTCCAAATGCTTGCAGTGGCAAACCATACCTGCACTGGTGCACAACGTTCCTTCCACAACCATCACTTTGTGGGGATCTTACTGAGGGGCCCGGAACACTCTAGGGGACGGAGAAGGGCTCTAGGCTCCAATGAGGACCAATACCTAACAAAATGACGTTCAAACATCAAAGTTCGAACAACAAGTGGCAGAGACAGTGGCTGGAGGCTACCCGCTGAAGATGCGGGACACTGTTGGGAGCATGGACGGTTACTGGGCATACAAAAGGGCCATTTGCTAACACACATAAGAGCGTTTGCCCATATTCCAAAATTATTGGGTAGAATATCAGCGTTCGCAAAGATGTGGAGGGGCTTATCCTCAGTATGAGCGACGACGATAACCACCCTCGTTTCCTTTCCAATTCACGAAGTTTAAAGTTTGAAAGAAAAGCTGCGGGCCTGATCCTGAATAACGAGAAATCTAGTTCCAAGGAAATTCAAGCCCAGCTAGGCAGTGATCTATGTTCCAACTGATCACAACATCTTAAAACTAACACAAGTGTCAAGATATGATGTTGGCTGTGGCTTTCACGCTTCTCAGAGAGGGGAAGAGCTTGCCATTTCTCTCCGCATTCGGCGCATTGTATTCTTCTGATCTAGCAACTTGATCAGATTGCCGCCCTTTTTTTGACCCCTCAACTGCTGCAGCACCACCCTCGTTTTACGCTGCATCCCTTAGAAACTCTGCCTCCTCGTCCCTCCAAGGCCTAAGACACAGAAGCACCCCATTCTTTTACATCCCCATTTATCATGCAAAGGATTACATCCCATAATGTTTCTCTGCTCTTAGCTCAAAGTGTTGGCATTGTGGAATCACTTCTGACCATACAAAGTCCTTGAGCAAGTGTTGGCATTGTGGAATCACAGCGGAGTCTATGCCTTCCATCCTCCTACATTGATTCCTCACCAGATGTAGAACGTGTTAAAAAGAAAGGCTTAAGCACATCCCTGGGAATGAAACAGCCGGCGTCAAGCAACGAGCTGAAAATGATTTTAAAACCACACCTCTTGGTGACTCAATATCCCCGCTGGTCCTGCCTGCAAAACAAACAGTCACTCCCACAACCCCCTCACATCTCTCCCCCTCCCCCGTGTTAAAAAGAAAGGCTTA